CACACCTCATTGGCCAGAATTACTTATATAGCCCCACCCAAACATAAGGAGGCCCAGGAGCACCATCCTACCTTGTGCCTGGAAGATGGAGACCCAGGGAGATTTGGTGAGCAGCACCAATGGCCATTCTGAAAATTTATATGTGGTGAGAAGGCTTCCATGAAGCAGTGATGCTTGAGCTGAGGCCTGAATGATGTGAGGAATCCGCTAAGAGGAGGGGCCCCAAAAGAGCATTGCTGCGGCTGTAGGCAGGTGTAAGATCTTCTTGGATTTGCTTGAGCATTCAGGGAGCACATGGCCAGGAACCCACAAGAAGGCTAACACGGTGTGTGCCAAGCTGTTGCTGAAGGATGTGGACCCTCTGGAACTTTTTGTCTAATAAGACTGGCTGATTCAAAGCGATTTTTATCTAAATGCGGGAAAAGAGATAGGTGCCAATGATCCTCTTATGTCTGAGCAAAGAGACGATGAGTATGTATAAGTTTTAGGAATTCAGAGGTGTCAATTTAAATGTTACTCTGAGGCCAAAAAATTAGTACAAAGGAATCAGAATTACGGATTTTTATAAGGGTTAAAATTGCATCAGAGAACATGGCCACAATCTCTGGAGCCTGGATTGGCAGGAATTGGCCAGGCGTCCAATAATTTAACTCCTCTCCCTAGGCACACAGACGGCCGCACTTTCAAACTCTTTTTGCAGATAAGTGGGGACTCTGTGACTGAGTTCTGGCCAATGGGGTGTGGACAAAATGAATGACACTTCTAAGCTTGGCCCTAACCCCTATACCTGGTTCCGTGTTCTCTCTGTTTGTTCTGTGATGACCTTGGAAACTATACTTCAGATGGCAGCCTATATATCTGAGTCACCTTGTGGAAGAAAGCCCTGAGCTGCATCTGATTATGGTGTGAGAAGGAAATAAACCCTTGCGTTTATTCTGTGGTTTGTTATCGTAGCAGTTTATTCTATCCTGACTAAGACTTGTAGGACTCCTCCAATAGAAATAACATTTGCAAGGACAATTTCATGATGCAGAAAGTGTCTATAGTCAGAGTTAGCACGTGGAGTTGTGCAAGTAGAGTGCTACGCAAAGCGGCCATCCAAGGGGCAAGTGGAGATCTACTCCATGCCCTATTCACCAAGTCACACACTGGGATGGGGCTATGTCCATGTGAGGGAAGCCTTTTTAAAATTTGCACTAAGACATATAGGCTAGTGGCAACCTTGTGTGACTTTCTGCAGCATCAAGAAAAAGAAAGGAATATTTCCTCTTAATCTCATTTCTTTCTCTAGCAGATAGAAGGGGCTACAGCAAAGCCAAGTGCTAAAACTGCATTTTTTAGCAATTATAGTTTTCAAAAAGCAGGCCTAAGGAGTTAAAAGTTTACAATATGAGACACCTCACCAAAGAAGATATACAGATGGCAAATAAGCATGTGAAAAGATGCTCCACATCATATGTCACCAGGGAAATGAAAATTAAAATGATAATGAGGTACCATTACGCCCCTATCAGAATGGCTAAAATCTGAAACACTGACAAAACTAAATGCTGACAAGAGTGTGAAGCCACAGGAACTCCCATTCATTGGAAGTTCTTGTGGCTTCACTCCCATCAGCCATTTTGAAAGACAGTTTGGCAATTTCTTTCAAAACTAAACATTCTCTTATCATACAATCAAACAATCACACCCCTTGGTATTTATCCAAAGGAGTTGAAAACTTATATTCATACAAAAACCTGCACACCGATGTTCATAGCAGTCTCATTCATAATTGCCCAAACTTGGAAGCAACATCCAGATAATGGCATATTATTTAGTGCTACAAAGAAATGAACTAGCAAGCTATGAAAAGACATGGAGGGACCTTAAATGCATATGGCTTAAGTGAAAGAAGCCAGCCTGAAAGGTGACATACTGTAAGATTTCAACGACAGTCATGACTGCATAACCATGTTGAGCCTCCAGAGGAATCCAGTCCTGCTTAAATCCATTTAAGACCCAAATATGATTCATTTTGGACTTCTGATCCTTAGTACAGTAAGGTTATAAATTTGCATTGTTTTAGGTCGTTAAATTTGTGGTAATTTGTTACAATAGTTACAGAAAACTAATAACACATTCAGGCTTATCTGAAATGTCACCTCTTTAGAGAAGCTGTCTGTCCCTGGCTACTCCAGCTCAATAAATATTCATTGACTGAATAATTGAAATAGATATGTGCAGTAGCTAAGATCTGGAAACAGCCCAAGTGCCCATCAGCAGATGAGTGGATAAAAAAGCTGTGGGACATTCACACCATGGAATACTACACAGCTGTAAGGAAGAAGGATCTCGTACCCTTTGGGACAGTATGGATGGACCTGGAGAATATTATGCTAAGTGAAATAAGCCAGGCAGAGAAAGACAAACATCACATGATCTTGCTTATATGTGGAACCTAAAGAACTTAATAAACTGATGAACAGAATAGATTCAATGACATGGAAGCATAGATGAGACTGACGAATGTCAGAGGGATGGAGGAGGGCGGGTGGGTGAAAGGGGAGAGATTAACCAAAGAATTTATATGCAGATATGCACAACCCAAGGACACGGACGATGGTGGGGAGAGGGACTGGGAAGGGGGATGGGACGGGTGGAATGGGTCATTGGGGAGGAAAACGGACATCTGTAATATTTTAAAAAATAAACAAAACAAAACAAAAAAGAAAAAAAAGAAAAGAAATAGATATGTGCACTTGATCCCAATAAAGTTTGAAGCAGGAGCTCAGAAACACCTGTGGGCTGAATTCAGCCTGCAGATATGTTCTATTTGGTTGGCATTGTGTTTGAAAACTCTTTTGAGCCAACATTCATAAATTGGACAGTTTCAATCAAACATCTGAATTTCCAGAATTGTTCAAGACTTTCTGAGGCCTGCATTTGTGCATGGCACTAATCAGCAAGAACTATAGCATAGTTCCATAGTATCCCTTCCCCTCAACCCAGAATAAGAACCTCCCTTTATTTTTGTTTTCCACTTGGCCCATGGAGACCATTGAGTTAGGAACCCTGGTATCTCAGTTAGGGTTCCCCTAAAAGCAAATATGAAAATAGAAAGTGTCAACAAGGAGATAGAAGGTATACAGAACAACCAGATGGAAATTTTAGAACTAAACAATATAATAACCAAAGTTGAAGGTTCACTGGATGGACTGATTAACAGAGTGGAGATGACAGAGGAAGGACTCAGTGAACTTGAAGACAGATCAGTAGGCATTCTCTAACCGGAACAACAGAGGAGACTGGAGGAAAATTAACAAAGTCTCAGGGACCCACCCATGCATGAGACAGCAACAGGCTTAACATTTATGTTCTCAGAGTCCCAGGAAATAGAAAGGGAATGTGGGGCTGAAAAATATTTGAAGAATATAATTTTGGGAAGCTGAAGTGAGGGAAAGTGAGGTGGGAAGGGGGGTAAGCTGATAATGGTGCTTTAATGAGCTGGTTGCAGCTGTACCCACCTGAAGCTCAGTGCTGTTGGGGATCCTATGAGAGAATGTGCGAAGTGTACCTCAGAGTTGTACCATCCAGGGCTAGAGAAGCTGGATGTCTATCCTACATTCCCAGTCCTTGTGGGCAAGGACTGCTCCTGGGAGGACCATCTGCTTGGCTGCCAGTGTCTCCCCCCACCAAATGCCTGGCCCAGCAAGCTCGTGAAGGGAGTTAGGGAACCATCAGTGCCTATGGGAACCATCCATGTAACTGCTGAAGCCGCAGGGGCCTTCAGAGTGGGCTGAGGGATATGAGTGGGTGTATTAGTTACCTAATGCCACATAACAAATTGCTACACATTTAGGAGCTTAAAACAACACACATTCATCCTCAGTTCCTGTGTGTCAGGAGTCCTCTGCTAAGGGTCTCCTAAGGCTGCAGCCAAGGTGTTGGCCAGGCTGTATTCTCCTCTGGAGGCTGACTGGAAAAGAATCGGCTTCTGATCTCATTCCAGTTGTCTGCAGAGTTTATTTCCTTGTAGCTATGTGACTGAGACCCTGGCTTTCTGCTGACTGTCACCCTCAGGTTCTAGAGGCCACTTGCAGCTCCTAGAGGTTGCCCACAGCTCCTGCCAAGTGGGCTTCCTCAACATGCTGCTTACTCCGTCAGGCCAGCCTCTCTCACTCTAGGTTGGCTAAAACAGAGGCTTAGACAGTGCAACCCAGTCAAGGGAGCGACATTCCAATACCTTCTCCATATTCTATTGGTTAGAAGTGAGTCACAGATGTCCACACTGAAGGAGAGGGAATCACACAGAGGGGGGACTCTGGGAGGTGGAAATCATTAGTGTCACCTTAGAGTTTGTGTGCCACAGTGGGGCACCAACAGCTTCGGATATGGATTATGTGACCTTCAGTCATAAGCCTGGGCAGCAGACCCAGGCCTGGCTCGGGCTGCTCCCCCTCCAGCCACTACATTCCAGGGGCTGCTGTGGGTGCGGGACACCAGGGGTTTCCTGGGGGCAGTAGGAGTGGGAGCTCAGGTATCTTTCACTTTCCCAGGGCGGGCCCCTCCCCAAGTCCACTGTGTGACTTCAGGCAGGTTACCTGAGCCCTCTGTGCCTAGGTGTTCTCAGCTACAAATGAGGTTCATAGAAACCCCAGCCTCATGGGTGGCTGTGAGGACATAGTGTTTGTGAAGGGTATGAGTTCTGACCACGCCAGGAGGCCCACAAATATTTGCTATTATGATCATGGTTATCCTCTGCCTCTGCTTCCCAGTGGGTCCCTTTTACGTTTCCAGGAACATTTCCCAGTCTACAAGACCCTTGGGGTCTCTGGGCACCTCGTGAACCCTTATGTGTTTGGGTAACAGTGCCTGGTATGCGAGGGGTGAGCTCTGCACTCTCCTCCTTGACAGAAGCTCTGTCCTGGAAGTTTCAGGTCTGTTCTGTGGTTGCTTCACAATGAAGTGTCAGGGCAATGAACTTTACAGGCATTAATATTTTATTTCACACTCCTCCACTCTGCTAAACTGTATATAATATCTGGGACAGTCCTGGGGATTCCCTTGGGCTGCCTGGACCAGGCCTGGTTCCTTGTCCTGGTGGAGGGATCTGTCTCCCTTTCTCGAGGTCTGAGGGGGCTTTTTCCACTACAAGACAGGAAGAGTGGTATGTGTCCCACTGTCCCAGGCCACCACTCTGGCAGCACCTTCTGACTTGGGGAGATACAGCTAAGTCCAAAGGCCATAGGCACAACGAGGGCAGGGTGGGGCAAGGGCGGGCAAGGAAAGGCAGCGGAACAGTGCAGCTCTGGGGGGACCTGGGGGTAACCCGCTCCCATCCCTGACAGTCCTTGTCCTTAGGAGAGTGCAATGAGTTAGGTGGCTACAGTTTACCAACCCCAGATGTTAACCCCCAAGATGGCCTCACCCCACCCCTCCTTTTCTCCTTGTGAGGAACACTGGGCTTGAGCCAGGCAACCTGGGTTTGAACTGGAGCCCCCTCCAGTTACTAGACAGGTAGTCTTTGCCTTAGTTTTCTCATCTGTGGAATGGGGATTGCTAATGAGTTTACAGAGGTGAACCTGGAACAGGGACCAGAACAGTCGCCCTTAGCTGTGGCCATGGGTATTTGGCCCACAGGCATTCGGAGTGTGGTGTGGGGCAGGCACAGGGCCGAGGCTGTGGAAAGAACAGGAGGCGACGGAGGCACAGGCGGCCAGGCCTCCTGAGCACTGCAGGCTCACTTTATTTCACCAGTAGCAGCCGGCTTCTTCTTCTACTCCGTGAAGGGCAGAGGAGCTTGAGCAGCAACCCGAGCGGGCCCAGGACGGTGGCCACCACCAGCATCAGCTTCAGCGCCGTGAGGATATTCTTCCCCTTCTGGGCCTCTCGTGCCTCCTTCTGCTGTCTGGCTTTCTCTCTCTGCAGTACCTCCAGCGCATCCAGTTCGGGCCTGGGATTGAATCGAGCTGCGAACCTGTGCTGCACGAAGCACGTGTAAATGGCCGGCCGGAAGACCTGCAGCTGACTGCCCCCGCTGGACGGCTCCAGGTGGGCGCTCACGTTCTTGCCAGAGAGCTGGCCCTGCCAGGTCAGGGGCGTTTTGTCAGCTTCCCAGATGATGGTCCTGCAGAGGAGTACAAGGTCAGCCGCAGCCCCCAAGGGAGAAAAGGGACAAATGTCTGAGGGAGGAAGAGACAGCAGCACCCTCCTCCCTGGGGAACAGCAAATAGGGCCCCTTCTGAGGAGCGCTACGCGGCGGTGAGCAAGGGGGGGGCAGGACAGCTGGGAGTTTTGGAGCCCTACCCCTACTGAGCGGGCCACTTGGCCAGAGGCCTCCAGCTCCCTGGGCTTCCATTCCCCGATCTGAACACTGGGGTGTGGTAATTGTACCTACCTCAGAGGTTATTCGGAGGGATTAGCAAGAATGCTCTCTAAATTGTTTGTGCCCCCTTTACCTGCCTGGCCTCGTTCCCCCCCTCGCCCCCTCCTGTCTGCCCCAGCCACACTGGCCTCCTTCCTGCTCCTCTGGCGTGCTGGACACTGTCCGCCTCAGGGCCTTTGCCCTGCTGCTCCCTCCGCCTGGAACGCTTGCCCTCAGCGCACTGGGCTCCCTCCCTTTCCTTCAGTCTCGGCTGCTGTGGCACCTTCTCAGAGACACCTTCCCTGACCTCATGTGGAACTTCCACCTTGTCCACTCCCATTCTCCCTCACTGGCCTTCTCACCACCTAAGATCCTAGATATTTTATTCACGTGGTTGGTTATTGCTCCGCAACGGCAGGAATCATTTTCAGTTCTGGTTTGCACTGCATGCCAGGTCCCTAGAACAGCGCTTGACTTACACACATGGTCAATTGTAACTGAGTGGAATGTAGTGAGTGATGTGGAAAGTACGTGGTTATGCATGTAACGCGCCCACTGGGCTGAGGAATGGAGGGGACCCACTCAAAAGACAGCATTGGCAAGGCCAACAGTTATACAAGCAATAGCTAACATCTATCAGCGTGGAACAGTTTCTCAGACCCTGTTTCTTCCCAGGCATTTGCCCCCTTAGAAATCACAATTGCCCCATGAGGGCAGGGCTAGCAAGACCTCTGTACTGAGTTGGATAGTGAGGTTTTAATTGGACCTCAGATTGGGACCTTATTTGGAAATAGGGTCATTGCAGATGTAATTAGTTAAGATGAGGTCAGACTATAGTAGGGTGGGTCCTAAATCCAGTAGGACCTTAGTCTTTATAAGAAAAGGCTTTAGCTCAGTGGTTCCTTCGAGTCGAGCCTTCCCTTGCCAACCACTCTTGCTAGTGAGGGTAGTTCCAGACCCGCGGGTGCCCTCCAGCCCTGTGAGAAAAAGAAAGGAAAGGGAAAGACACACAGAGACACAGACACATGGGTCTAATGCCAAGTGATGCTGGAGGCAGAGACTGGAGTGGTGCAGCTATAAACCAAGGAAGGCCCAGGAGTGCCAGCCACCACTAGAAGCCAGCAAGGAGCAAGGATCCTACCCAGCATCTCAGACAGCACATGGCCCTGCCGACACCTTGATCCTGGGCTTCTAGCCTTCAGAGCTCTATGAGAATAAGTTCCTGTGGTTTTAAGCCACCCAGTTTGGGATATTTTGCAATGGCAGACCTAGCAAACTAATACAACCCCTATTTTACAGACGCAGAAACTGAGGCATAAAGAGACGCCATGGGCCAAAGTCACACGGCTGGAAAATGGCAGAGCTGGGATTGGAACCCAGAGCTTGCGACAAAACCTCCCATGAAGTGCCACTCCACTTGGCTCCCTACAGACAGGGGCAATTCTTGTAGCCTCAGTGACCTCTCTGATTCTTCCGGAAGTTCCCAATGACTGGAACTCGAGGACTCCTTGTCTGGACACAGAGTAGGTGTCCCAGTCTAGATGGGAGGAGGGATTCATAGTGCACTTTCCTGCATTTCTGAACTGTGGTATTTTTATTTATTTATTTAATTCTCACCCGAGGATATTTTTCCCATTGCTTTTTCAGAGAGAGTGGAAGGGGGAGAGAGAGAGAGAGGGAGAGAGAGACACACACATTGATTGGCTGCCTCCCTCTCAAGCGCCCACTGGACGGAGCCTGCAACCAAAGTATGTGCCCTTGGCTGGAATCGAACCTGGGACCCTTCAGTCCGAGGGCCGACGCTCCAGCCACCGAGCCAAACTATCTGGGGTGAACTGTGGTATTTTTTAGGGAGTAGGTGTTATTTTATACTTAATGGGGGAGGAAAAAAGGAGGAGACAAAATGATGTGACTGAAAAAAAGAGAGAAACAGAAGTCACAGCTGGAATATATGAGGAAAAGAAAGCCAGGTGGAGTGGGAGGCCAGACTCCACAGAGCGCATAGCTGCAGAGGCCCCAAGAGGCTGTGCGGGCTCTCCCCTTGCAAGGGACGGGCTGCCACTGGGGTGCGTCGGAAGGAGGGCAAGGGGACCCCATGGTATATGTGAGATTAAGGGTCTGCACTGCCACCTCCCACAAGTCTCCTTGGGCCAGGACTGCATCCCTCCCAGCTGCAGTCTCCCCATCTATCAATGGACTTCCTTGGGGTCCAAAGCTCCTGAGGCCAGGGAGGAGTTGATGAGAGAGGGTGCGGCTTCTGAAGAGAGTTTGCTCAGGGCTGGCCCCCAGTGAAACCATGAGTGGTTGTAGCTCTTATTACTGGGTAGGGGCAGGTGAGTTGGGAAAGAGGAGGCAAATGGGTAGACTTCCCAGGGGCTCCAGGAAGGAAGACAAGAACATGAGTGCGAGTTGCAGGAGGCAGGCCCTGAAGGGTATGCCTGGGGCATTGTCCTCTCCTCTGGAGCCTGCTGACTCTCCCAGATGAGTCAGAGGCCTCAGAGCCCCACAGCTTTCCAGGCTTCCCCCAGTACAGCCCATCCACTCACCCGGGCTTCTCCCATCCCCACCCTGACCACTCTGAGCTGCCTCACTGCTGGGCTGGTTGTCTCCTGAGGACAGGAAGTCTGACAACTACCATCTCCACAGCACTGCCCAGCACAGGGCCGGGCACAGTCAGCCGAGCCCTCCGAGTGTTAGTTGTCCTTCTGCCATGTGAAGTAATAGTGTGTGGGCACCAGGGGATTCTTACCAAAGGAACATCTGAAGAAGCCAGTGAAGAGAGACCTTGGGATTCACCCATGTAGAACCTCCCTTCTCTGCACGGATTAACCATGAAGGCTCCTAGACCAAGAGAGCCTGGCTAGGGGCCCAGGGCAGGGCTAGCGCACTCTTCCATTACCTGTAGATGGATCCTAATGGGCAGGTGAGCCATGCATATCCTGACTCCTCATTGAGCTTGAAGTCATCAAAAGTAATGTCCTCAATATTTAATTGACACTGGACATGGCAGGCTTCTATCTGCATCTCAGGTCGCATGCGGCTGGACCACAGCCTAGAACTTCCCAGGTAGAGTGAGCAGGGCATGGGTTTCTCCTGAGGTTCTTGGATGTAGCAGTACCCCAGGCGTTTGCGCTCACCCGGCTTCCCGCAGCTGTTACAGTCCTGCCAGGGCTCCCAGTTGGTGAAGATAATCTCCTTGCTGCCCAGACTCAGGGTCTCATTCTGCAAGGGCTTCTGGCCCAGGCCTCTATGAGTAATGTGCAAGGTGCTGACGTCCTGGAAGTCAATCTCATACTGCACCACTTGTAAGTTTTTCTCATCTAGACAGCTGTAGAAGCCCGTCTGGGATGGTAATGGCCTTCTAATGAGAATGCTGCCTCCAGGCATTGTTTCTATGTTGGAAACACTGGTGGGGTGCTTGGACCATCTGGCCCCACCTTGCAGGAAGTAGTAGTACCACTGTGACTTAGAGGAGTTGCAGTATAGAAAGATATCGTTGTTGGAAAGTAGGGCCTGTTGACATTTCTTGCCAGGGGGACAGCTGATGGAAACATAGAACCCCAGCAGTGGGACAGCAAAGCTGAGCAGCAGCCACAGGGTTATCATCATGGTGGACTGGGACTGTGGCAGTGGGCCAGGCACCACCCTGGACATTGTGAGGTCACCCATGAAGCTCAGGCGTCAGCCCTGTGTAATAGCAGAATGAACTAGAGTACACCCCATGGGTATGTAAGGTCACAATCCCCATTTATTTTGTGACAAATTAACAACCCTATTTATTTTCTCTTCCAAGTCCTCTACTCTGCTGGGATAGAAGGAAACTTAATTTGTCTATTCAGGATTTTCACTATCACCCTCATGCTTTGGCATTAAAGTGTCACATGTAAACATTCAGCACATTTTCCCTGAACACCTACTATGTTCTGGGCATACTTCTTAGTACTGGGGGTGGAGAGGTGAATAAATCCTCTGGTTACCATTCTGACCTCCTACCCCTTCCCGCCATGTTGGCCTCCCTGCCGTCCCCTGAAACAAAGCAAAGGGCGCCTGTCTTAGGACCTTTGCAATGCTAGTTTCTGGCTCTTCCCACAGATATCTGCGTGACTCAATTCATTTTAGTTGTTTTTGTTTTTTTTTGCCATTTAATCATTTTTTATTTTTCAATTACAGTTGACATACAATATTATGTGTACAGCCCAGTGATTTGACATTATACAACTTACTAAGTGATCATCCTGATAAATCTTGTACCCATCTGACACCATACGTAGTTATTAGAGTATTACAAACTATATTGCCTATGCCATGCTTTGCATCCCATGACTATTATCTAACAACCATTTTGTGCTTCTTAATCACTTCACCTTTTTCACCCATTTGCCAACCTGCCTCCCATCGGGCAACCATCAAAATGTTCTCTGTATCTGAGTCTGTTCTGCTTGTTAGTTTATTTTGTTTTGTTTTTTTAGATTCAATTATTGATAGATATGTATTCATTGCCATTTTATTGATCATATTTTTAACCTGTTTTTGTTCTTAAAGAAGACCCTTTAACATTTCTTGTAATACTGGTTTGGTGGTGATGACCTCCTTTAACTTTTTCTTGTCTGGGAAGCTCTTTATCTGTCCTTCAATTCTAAATGATAGCTTTGCTGGCTAGAGTAACCTTGGTTGTAGGTTCTTGCTTTTTATCACTTTGAATATTTCTTGTTAATTCCTTCTGACCTGCAAAGTTTCTGTTGAGAAATAAGCTGACAGCCTATGGGAGCTCCTTTGTAGGTAACTAACTGCTTTTCTCTTGATGTTTTTAAAATTTTCTCTTTGTCTTTAACCTTTGGCATTTTAATTATGATGTGTCTTGGTGTGGGTCTCTTTGGGTTCATCTTGTTTGGGACTCTGTACTTCCTGGACTTGTTTGTCTATTTCCTTCACTAGGTTAGGGAAGTTTTCTGTCACTGTTTTTTCAAATATCATTTCCGTTTCTTTCTCTCTTTTCCTTCTGGCACCCCCATGAAGCAAATGTTGGTAACCTTGACATTGTCTCAGAGGCTCCTTACACTATCTTCATTTTTTTGGATTCCTTTTTCTTTTTGCTGTTCTGATTGTTTTTTGTTTCCTTATATTCCAAATTTCTGGTTTGATTCTGGCTTCATCTACTCTACTGTCAAGTCATTGTAAATTATTCTTCATTTCAGTTAGTGTATCCTTAATTTCTGACTTGTTCTTTTTTATGGTTTCTTTGTTGTTTTTCATGCTGTTGAAGTTCTCACTAAGCTCTCCAGCAGCCACTGTCTCACTCAGTCACACTCCCTGCTGATATTTACAGCCACTGGAACCCTGGACTGAGGGGCCTGGTGTGGAGCTGGGACCCCTTGCTCCTCAAGAGGGACCTCCACAGCTGAAATATCCCTCCTGACTTTTATCTGGCACATGTGGGTGTGGGACCAGCCCATTCTGTGTCTGTTCCCCTCCTACCAGTCTAGAAGTAGCTTCTTGCCTGGCCAGCACAGCTCAGTGGTTGAGCATTGACCTATGAACCAGGAGGTCATGGTTCGATTCCTAGTCAGGGCACATGCCTGGGTTGCGAGCTCGATCCCAGTAGGTTGCATGCAGGAGGCAGCCAATCAATGAATCTCTCTCATCATTGATGTTTCTCTCTCTCCCTCTCCCTTTCTCTTCCTGAAATCAATGAAAACATATTTAAAAAAAATAGACGTGGTGTCTTCTTTAAAACCTAGTTGTAGGACTTCTATTCACCCAGATTTCAGGTGGTTTTGAATGATGACTGTTCTGTAGTTTAATTATAATTTCTATGTGGTTGTGGGAAGATTTGAGTCTCAATTCATTTTAAACAAATAAATATTTTTCTCATTTCCCCCTTCCCAAACCCCTTCTTAGTCTTGAAATTTAAAATAAATATTGTGCAGGCTTGATCTTCCTTCATTTACTCATTTCACAAATGTTTACTGAATGCCTACCATTTGCTGGCCACTATTCTAATCACAGCAGTGAACAGATTAGACAAAGCCTCTGCCCTCCTTGAGCTTACCTTCTAGTGGAAGAGACAGAGAAAAAATAAATATGTAATTCATAATGTCAGATACAGCAGATTCTTGTCATTCACAGTAGTATTTTATTTTTAGAAAATAAAAACTTTATTGTTTTAAAATCACTGAATTAGCAAATACTGAAACACTGCTCCTAGGAGAAATACAGGGTTAGGGTACTACAAGCTTTTGGTGTAAGTTTTTGGTCCTCAGATCAACATATAACCTTGCTTTAGGTGTGTTTCTGTTTAAAGGCACCTTACTTAATACATATTATTAATTCATTAAAATTGAACTTGTAGCCAACAGTTATAACTCATGCCTGAATAAAGCTTATCTAACACATGTACTTTCTTCATATGGCACATCACATGCTTTTTGCACTTAGAAACATGAGACAGCACCTCAGCATTTTGGGAGCCATTTTAAACAGCAAAATCACCCCTCCAACAAAAACCACAAAAATTCAAAAAAAGTGGCACCAAATAGACTGTGAAAAGGGTACTTATTAATAGTATGAGAGATAAACAAGAAGGCAGACTGTCAGTCACCTTGTTCAACCTCAGCTAGGAATGTGCATTGTTAGGTGACTCAGTTTTTTTGCCACTCTGTGTGTGTCTGTAAATGTCTATGAAAGCACTGCGGGTATTGATTTGGGTGTTACAAATAAATTTTAGTAAGTGAATTCACAAGTATGGAATCATCGAATAATGAGAACCAACTATAATAATTGCTACAGAAAAAAATTGAGCAGGGAAATGGGGCTAGAAAGTAAATAGTGGTGGTGTGTGGGTGTAAGCTATCTTAGGGAAGATGACCAGCTTGTCTGAGCACTTCCTGAGAAGGTTAAGTTTCATAAACACCTGAGTAAATTGAGATAAAGAGCCATGTGGATATTTGAAGGAAGATTATTCCTAGGAGAAAGCTAGACCCTGACATGGCTGCCTGGCTAAGGGATGTGGAGGCCAGAGTAGCTGGAGGATTAGATAAGGGGAGAGTGGTGTGGGGGTGAGGTCAGAGTTCTTTGCTAAGACATCCTGCCTTCCTCTTTACCTGGCTCCTTAAGGTTGGGGGCTCTCTTAGTTAATGCACCTGGCCCATGTGGGGACCTCTACAGGTTGTATTTGGCATAAGCTTTACACTTACTCTCTGGAACTGTTGCTTTTATGGTATATTGCTGCCAACCCCACCCCAGAGTAGCATATCCTCTCTGCTCTCACATCTCCTCTGCTCAGAGCTATCTAGACAAAACTATCTAGACTTTTTTTGGTCTGCTTTCTAGGACCTTATAAAGTCCCTCTATCTCAGACATTAACATCTATACCCCTATTGCTTCCCCTCCATCTCCCTCCTTCTCTCTTTGGCTTTCTCCTCAGCCCAGGGAATCTTTTCTAAACAGGTAAGCAAGGCTATGGGGGGACTGTGAGAAAGCCTACTTCTAACTTTTATTTTGTCTAGGTGAGAAGTCACAAACTGGCTGAAAAAAGTCTCTTAATTGGCCTCATAAGGTATTTTAAGAATATTTAAATCAATGACCAACATGTAAAATCCAAGAGATTTCATATAAGAATCCAGATTCCCTGCTATTCTTTAAATGACGTAGGTGATATTTCTGCTTCCTACTACAATTGAGTAGCTTATGTCAGATTAATCCTCTTGATTACAACAACTGTAGAATTTAGGATAACATGATTAATATGTCTAAGAGATGACAAGATGAGGATTTTGAATCTATATAAAAGAATCAAATGAAAATACTAGAATTAAAAAATAAAATTTGTGAAATTAATAATTCACTGGGAAGGGTAACAATCTATTAGACACAACAGAAGATAGAATTAAGAGAATGAAAGATGGGTCCATAGAAAAATATCTGTACTGAAGCATGCAAAGGAAAAAGATAGAAAAAAATACAGAAAAGAGTGGAAGAGACTTATGAGACATGGTAAAAAATTCTAACACTTATGTATATGGAGGCTCAGAAGAAAAAGAGAGACAGAAGCATAAGCAATATTTGAAGAGATACTGAATTAAAACTCTCCAGGACTGATAAAAGACAATAAGCCATAAATTCAAGAAGGTCTTCAGCTATTTTCGGTGGAACAGCTGCCTAAATGAAGATTTTCATGAAAACCCGTATAGTGAAGATCATCATTCTTGAGGTTGAACCCTCAGACACAATAGAAAATGTAAAGGCCAAGATCTAGGATAAGGCAGGACTTCCTCCTGATCAGCAAAGACTGATCTTTGCTGGCAAGCAACTATAAGATGGACATACTTTGTCTGACTACAACACTACCAAAGTATGTCCCCCACATACCCAACAGACAGTTGTGAAATGGGGCAAAGTGGCTTCATGCACAACAGGAAGGGGAAGAAGGGGAGACACACACAAATCACTGATCTGTAACATTTCTAAAATCCAGTGAGAAGGTTCTGCAAGAGCCTCCTATCTTGTAGATGGGGAGCATTCTTTAATTAGCATCGAATCAGTTACTTGGGGGAGCGGTTCTTGAACCCTTTGCTCTCTGTGGTCATGTCTCCACTCTCCAGGGAGATATCTCCTTTTCCATTATCCTCCTTGCTACAGCTGAGGTGGCACTGGAAGATGTGCCCTCCTTGGCACATGAGCATTTTTCTCAGCCTGCTTGTTGTCTCTCAGAGT